ACTGCAACGAATTTTTCCTTTCTTTAAAGAAGTAGCAACTCTCCTTGATTCAACAGCAGATTATTACATCTCCAAGTTTCTCTTTCTCCTCTATTTCTAACTTCTTACGACTATTTCACATCCTTTTAGACACTCCATTAGGGTATTAAAAGAGTGGCAGTAAGAAAGATGAAAATTAAAGAAAATAGTTGGAGGTAGAGATGACCCATAAATTCATCATAAATCATTTCCCATATGAAATAACAGCCCCCGAAAGGAGTGCCTTACACATGATAGAATTGTTCTGATAAAAAGTACTGCTAGTGTTTGGTCCATGATTGAATGGCCTGAGAGTAATTTACATAAATGTCAAGGGTGCGTTGACAGAGCAAGAAAGCACAGGCCGGACTGCCTGCTTAGACTGGAATTCCTAACACATTTTCAAAGTTGTGCCAAAGAGCTCTTGTGACAGGTTGAAGGAGTTTGCAGACCAAGTTACACTCTTTTTTTTTTTCTTTTGTCAATGCTGGTATTAAAAAATACATCAAAGGAGGAAATACAAAACTTACTTAAGCTATAAGCAGGAAAGCAAATTCTTTAATTAAATCTTTAATTAAAGTAGACCATGGCGTGAAGTAGCTGAATTATGCTGCTTTCCTCAGAAAGAAAAAAAAGGAAGTGTGACCTTCCTGTTTCTCATATTTTCTATAAGCAGAAAAGAACTAATTAGGTCTTATTTCTAATTACTCTAAGTCTATCAAATTTTCATGACTATGGGGGCATGGACTAGAACTAGGCACTATAGAGGAACCATCGATAAAGTTTCAAGTCTTAGATTCTTTCTTTTATAAGCACACTTCTAATTTATGAATTATGTTTCAGTTACAGAAGCTGATAATATGTATAAAACAGGTTGATAAAGCAGGAAGAAAGTCTTAATAAAAATTTTAATAGGAAGAGTGACCAAATCCAAACTATTCAACTTTTGCTGCTTTCAAAGAGTAAATGCATTTTCAAAAAGCCCCATTAAGTATGGGTCCCAAAGGTGTACCATTTGTCAAAACTCTTCAAACTGTGCACTTAAGCCCTGTCCATTTAACTACACCTAAAGTATACCTTAATTTAAAAAGTATCCTTAACCCTAAGGCCCAAAGAGCTATGGTCACGTAAAATTAGAGAAAAGTCCAAGAGACAGAAGTGCTCAGACTGTTTGCAATTGATTGGTGCAGTCACTTTAAATCTTCTTTATGCCCTTACTTCAACCATTATTTGATCACTGGATCTGTTCCTAGGGAAATGTGTGGAGAAGCACACACCTTGTCCCTCAGCATTCATGATTTAAAGAATGCAAGGTAGATTTCGAAGGGTACATTCATATCAAGGGGATTACATGAAAATATTCACCTTTTTTGTGGCTAAAAGGTCTTTTCTTTGTTCTCTTACCAGGGGAAAAGGTTTGCTTTGGGCAAGCTCCCCATGGCAAACCTCTTTGAGGAATGAATTCTGAAGTGCATTCAACCATGTCTTCATGACCTTCTAGTTCAAGCATTTAAAGGGGATAGTGGAACATTGTCCTTCCCCACTTTCTGTGTTTGATGGGTGATTTTAGCCAATCTGGGATTTTGATATACTTCCTAGGACACTTGAAAAAGTATCTTTGTAAAAGGAACTTTGTAAAAGATTCCATATTTACTAATTAAACAACGACAGAAATGCTTCCTAAATGCTAAATTCAAAATCAATTCAAACTGAAAAATTTTCAGGAAAGGATTCTTAAAATTTGATACAATTTTTTGCTCATATTTACAAATTAAATTTATACTGTGCTTTACTGGTAAACTAACAAATAGTTTATCAATAAGAGATTTTAAGTCACAAGGTGAAAAAAAACGTCGTTATCTGTAGTAGTATGGCCCAAGGCATGAGTAGAGAAAGTAAAAAGAAGAAGGAAATTAAAAAAGCACGGGACCTCACTTTCTGCTTGTCAGGCTGCTCTTCCAGGGTCACTTTGTCCGTCAGACGTCAGACTGGCATATGAGAGGAAGAAGTAACTTGAGACATCACCTAAGCCTTTCCCTCCATTTTACAAAAGGAGAAACTGAAACTCAATTTCTGTGATTTGATTAAGGTCCTTCATGAGGATCAAATAATAAATCTTTTACAAGGGCATCTTTATATTTGCACTCAACTCAAAGTTAAACTTCAGTTGAGTATTACTGATGTCTAAAAAACACTGCTTTATACAAGTAAGAAAAAAATCTCTTTAGACTCAATGCAATTAAATTAATCAAAAGCATGGCCTGTGCAACCAGATAGTCTTGGGTTCGAATCCTAGTTCCACAACTAACCAGCCATGTGACTTGAGTGAATTTCTGAGACTCTGTTTCATTTCCCATAAAATCAAGAAAAACATCCATCTCAAAGACTGCTGGCGGGGAGGGTGGTAAGTGAGATCCTATGAAAATGAGGTGCCTAGTACAGGTTGTAGGACCCATACATAATAGGTAGCCAATATTGTGTTTTAAATTCCAGATAAGGAATGTATATGTTTACTTTAAAATTTTTGGCTCTGCTTCTGACCTTATGAGTACAGCACCAAAACGTAATTGAATACTTAAAATGTAATTATCAGACCTGTAAAAATTATTTCTTGAGCTCAACGGTGGCAGGTATTGCGATGGTACAGAAAGAACCTGTCATTCTGTTCCTGTCCTGAAAAAGGAATCAGTTCACATGAAACCGGTAGTGATCCATAAAAGTCTCAATGTAATCAAGTGCTCAGTTGTGTTTAACAGTCTTAAAAGAAAAGAGAGAGATCCCAGTAAGGCTCAGAACACCAGCATACCTCGTTTTACTGCATTTCCCTTTATTGCCCTTCCCAGATGCTACGGTTTGTTACAAATTGAAGGTTTGTGGCAACCCTGCATCGAGCAAGTCTATTGACACCATTTTTCTAACCGTGTCTGCTGACTTCCTGTCTCTCTGTCACATTTTGGCCATTCTCACAATATTTCAAACTTTTTCATTATTATTACATTTGCATCACTGCAATCGCATGATAAAATTTTATCAGGTGAAGAGTTGCTTCTCAGATATGAGCCAAGAAAGTGGTTTCTTGAGAAGGAACCGACTCCTGGTGAAGATGCTATGAAGATTGTTGAAATGACAACAAAGGATTTAGAATATTACATGAACTTAGTTGACAAAGCAGCAGCAGGATTTGAGAGGACTGATTCCAATTTTGAAAGAAGTTCTACTGTGGGTAAAATGTTATCAAACAGCATCACATGCTGTTGAGAAATTGCTCGTGAAAGGAAGAGCCAAGTGATGTGGCAAAAGTCATGTTATCTTATTTTAAAAAATTGCCTCGGCTGCCCCAGCCTTCATCAGCTGTCACCCTGGTAAGTCCATTAGCCATCGACATCTCCACCAGCAAAAAGATTACTATTTGCTAAAAGCTCCAGGGATGATTAGCATTTTTAGCAATAAGGTATTCTTAAGTTAGGGTATATACACTGTTTTTTGTTTTTATTTTTACATAACACTATTGCACACTTCATAGACTATAGTATAAACATAACTTTTTTATGCACTGGAAAACTAAAAAATTCATTTGGCTAACATTTTTGGGGTATTTGCTCTATTGCAGCGGTATGGAGCCAAACCAGCAAGATCTCTGAGGTGTGCCTAGACATCCAGAACTTTGTGCACCAAATGTGAATGAAGGTGGTGGTGAAGATGGGAGAATGAAAGGTGCCTCATCAGCAGGGGCTCCATGCATGATGTATGACGAGAAGTCTTATGTAAGAAGGGCAAATCCCAAGCAGCAAAACAGTCATACTCCAAATGCATCTATATGATTCCTTATTCACATGACACTTTATATTTTTACTTAGCTATGAAGCAATTGAATGCTGACCTTGTTTTTTTCCCAGACAGGGAGGATAAGTACTACGCCCAAAGTAGCCTGATTTGGAATTAGCATTCACAGCCCTAGACCACATTTCTCATTCCTTTAGCCTTACGCTTTCATTATGTTCTTTAGACCATATTTCACACTTAAAAGTTCACCTTTTTAAATAGAAATTGACATTCTACCTCCACTTTCCCAGGAAACATTGCAGAGAAGACAAAACTCTAAGATTCTTGTCCCATCTATGCTATTAACTGTCCGTGAAGCCAAGAATGAGCCCCCTAGTCTCTAGGTGAATTATTACATGGGATGGTTCCTCCTGGGCATGAAATTTTACAGACAGAATAGGGATTTAGTGGAGTGGAGGACAGCAGAGTAATATCCAATGTGCACTGCGCAGCCTGAATCTGACCTGTTTTATACAATCTTTGGGTAAAACTGCCAGTCACCATTGTTTCTCTCTATCCCATAAAAACTGAGTTCAAAAATGGATAAGAAGAATTTATTTTATTGCTGAAATACCACCTTGAATATGAATGGCAGCTTTCTGATTATTTATATGTCCCCTCTGGGTATCAAATCCCTGAACAGTATAAAAACATCCCAGAGATGGCCTGACAAAACACTTGAGGACTAGCAGAAAGAAAGGAGAATTGCAGCTGCTAGAAGAAATGAAGGAGGGATTTTAGTCCTCTCCTAGGGCAGTGACAGGGCTGGAGAAGAAAGAATCGTGCTCTTCTGTGCTGGGAGCAACGTGGACTTGAAATTTGCCGGCAAATCAAAAACAGCAAAGAGCAGAGCCCCCCAAATCAACCAGGCCCATATATCCCCGCGGGGTACTTAATGGAAAGCAAAGTCACACTCCTCATGAAGAGTCCAGGTTAACTTAAATACAGAACCCTGTTCGGGTCTGGAGCCCCCGCGCGTCTCTCTGGCTGCGTGAAAACTTGCCCTTGGTTTAGGCCGGTCGTTTGAGGAACTCAGAACTCCAACAACCAACAGGCCCTCGCGACGCGTCCCTGGCCGGGGACTGCCCTCTCCAGCGGGCAGCTCCTGCGGATGCTGTCCAGGCATCGCCCAGGGGGAAAGGTTGCAGAGCGGTCGGAAGGCGCGGGAGGAGTCTGGCGGTGATTGATGGGGAAGGGACGAATGAATAAAAGTACTTGTCTAGGGACAGCAAAGACCCCGACCGAGCAAGCTGCGGAGGCTACTTGCTCTGGCATTCCCTCAGCGTTTCGTCAGAGCCAGACCCGCCCGCGGCTGAAGGGAGGCGTGCTCGCCCCCGGAGCCGGCTGCAGGCGAGCTGCGAGCAGAGCTTCCCGGGAAGGAGGTCCCCGCTCGTCGCTGTGCTCCTGGTACTCCCGGTTCGCGAGGTAAACACTCCGGCTTGGTGTGGAATTAAAATCAGTGATTGAACCTTGCCCTGGGGCCTCAGCTCGGGTTAGTAGTTGGGGATATATATATTTTTTAATCTAATAAAAAAAGATGTATAGAATACAATGAATTGTGTTGTTGGAGTAAAGGAGGTTGGAGTAAAGGAGAGCGCATGAGAGTCAGAAGCCACTTAGAGGGGACAGAGGCTTCCGACTTAATGCTGATACTCCCCCAAGTCGGACGAGTTGCGAAGTGCCAGAGTCAGCCGGTGCACTCCGGGGGGCTCTGGGGCATTCCGAGCGCAGGCAGCTGGGAAGTAGCGGCTTTCACTCGCCCGGAGGAGTCTTGGCGTTCAGACACCGTGTATCCGCGCTCCCTGCGGAGCAAAATGCAGAGATTGGCATATGCCCTTGGCCTCTAGCTGCCTTGATTCCCCAGTTCCCACGGGTCTCTAGTCAGAACGTGTGTGTTCCTCGGGGCACACCAAGGAACTCAGAGCTCTGCCTTGGACACTCATCCTTCTCGCCCTGGCACACCCCTTCCAGAATGCCCCGCCCCACTGCGAGTCACTTATCCCTCGGGGGAACTCCAGGGAGAAAAAAAACACGGGGGAAGCTGGATCGGGAGGGACAGTGGACGGGCGCAAGAGGGTCAAGCGCACCAGTTCAGCGCTGGCGCGCAAACTTGAGTTACATTTGCGCGCGGCTGCGCTCTGCCGGAGCGGGTGTGCAGGGGCGTGGCTGGGGTAGCTGACCCAAGCGTCCTGTCTTTCTTCTCTTGCTGGTCTCCAGACTCCAAGCTGCAGAGCAGCCACCCGATGCCCACTGGAGCAGGCAGCAGCATGCAGCCTCTGCTAAGCTGGCGCGGACGCGCCCTGGTGGCCTTGATCCTCGCCTGCGGCGTGACGGGGGTCCAGGGAGAAGAGAGGGGATTCCCGCCGGCCGGGGCCACTCTGCCACTTCTGGGGCCCGGAGACATAACGACGCCCCCCACTGAGGTTTCCTGGCCCAAGGGTTACAACGCCAGCGTGCAATGGTCTTCTGCGCCGCCGCAGATGCCTAAAGCAGGGAGAACACCTGGAGCCCCGCCACGCACCTTCTCCCCTCCCCCCTGCGAAAAATCCACCGAGATCAAGGAGACTTTCAAGTATATCAACACGGTGGTGTCCTGTCTGGTGTTCGTGCTAGGCATCATCGGAAACTCCACACTGCTGAGAATCATTTACAAGAACAAGTGCATGCGAAACGGCCCTAATATCTTGATAGCCAGCCTGGCTCTGGGAGACCTGCTGCACATCATCATTGACATCCCCATCACTGTCTACAAGGTAAAGGGTTAATATCGAAGGGAGGGTACCTAATTAGGAGGAGGGAGATGGGACGCTTACTCAAGAAGATCCATCGCCTCCTAAAGTCAGTTATCCAGGGAAATAAATTCCCTACTCGTCTTCAGTAACCTTAGGCTAAGCCTCTATCAAGTGTAGTCCTCAGACCAGCAGGATCAGCATCACTGGGGAACTTGTTAGAAATGACATTTTATGGCCTCACCTCCGACGTGCTGATTCAGAAACTCTGGGATGGAGCGCAGTAGTCTGTATTTTAACAAGCTCTTCATGTGATGATGATGAACTGTAAAGCTTGAGAACCACTGGTCCTGAAGTATCTAGTCCCTAAGCCCAGCTCACCGGGTCCATTCTCTCTGCAAAGGTGTGGTCCGTGGATTGGCAGGATTGATATCACCAGAGAGTCTGTTAGAACTGCAAGTGCAGTCCAGACTTAGAAAAGCAGTATCTGCATCTTAAGATACCTAGGTGATTCATATGCACATTAACCTTGGGAAGCATTTTTGGGGAGGGCTCTGGAAGTTCAGGGGATGGAATGGGTTTTTAGGAAACAAATGGGCTAGAAGAAAGAGACCCAGACAAGTGAGTACACCAACACAGTTCACCTGCTGTGAATGACTGTAGTGTACCGACTCTTTATTGCAGGTCTACAGTGGGCCAAGCACTGAAATGGATAGGTTACTTCCCTTTACTACTTTTGACAACCCACAAGAAAATATTTCTCCATTTTACAGATGACTGATAAGATGTTCAAGGTCTCACAGTTAGTAAGAGATGGAGGTGGGAATCAAGCCCAAATCTATCAAGTCCAGAGTGCAAGTTGTACCCTCATCGATTACCTTGTGAACAAACCAAAGGGGGCTCAATGCAAAGTCTCTAAGGATTTCAGTAGCTAACATTACTGTGATTACCACGGGTATCGGAGGAAACAGCAGGGAGAGCTAGGGCTGCACATAAACCCCCACACTATTTGACTCCAAGTGGCTTTAAAACTCTAGACATATCCCAACGTCACTGGGCCTCAGTCTCCTCAACCCTACAATGAGGTTGTTAGCGCCCACTTACTGGGGTTTTGTGGTGCTAAGAAAAATAGCCTAAGTGAAAGAACCAGAATATTTTAAAGGCCCAACAGAAGGTTTTAAAGGCCCATGCAAGTATGTAAAACTCTGCTTACCCATCATGCTCAGTAATAGGAAATCACACAGAAGAACAGAACCAAAGTGTAAAGGAATGGGAATGTGCTTTGGGAGTTTGCCTGAAGGTAGTCCAGGGCTCAGTACAAGGGGAAAATATGGCATGGAGGGCTGGAAAAGCATTGTTGGTGGCGGGGAGGGGGGGGGGGACTCAAGATCTTTGTTGAGAAGGAGTCACCATAAGGCATGCCTTTAAGTCCTAACCCAAATACCCATTCTTTAAGGGAATTTTAGCAATTTCTGAAGTTTAGAAATAGAATTCAAATTAAGAGCCAGGCTCTAGAAGGAAACACTCCCACAAATGGTAGATAAATAGAAGAAATCCTAAAATCTGTATGGTAACTGGTTCTTCTGAAGTCTGAGTGTTTCCTGGGAGAGGCACAGTCTGAAATGGGTCCCTTAAATGCAGTGACAGTTCTATTGGAGCCAGAAGTGATGCCCTTACTTCTTTAGGGAGTCCCACAGACCAAGTCTTACCATTCCAATTTTGACAAAGGATTCCAATTCAATTCATCAAAACTAACTTGAGAAACTATAGAGTACAAGGGGCTGAGAAATTGTTAGATAAGCACAAGAAGAGCCCTCTGAAAAGGGAGATTGCAATCTGGGTTTGCTAGGCTTGCAGAGAACTTTGTGAAAGGTCTCTCTGGGGAGGTCTCAGAAAACCCCACATGTCCAACTCAGTCTGAGACCTTCTTAAGTCAGCCAGCAGCTGAAGTGCTATATGGAAGATGGGGTCGAGGACATTTTCTTGTAGATGGGTTGCTTCTAGGCCGGTTGAAATCAGCTCTTCCAGGACCATCTTACTTTGTCTGTCTGGTCAAATGATTACACTTGGTCAACCCGAGGATATCTGACTCCCAGGGGGGCACATAGTTTTTACTTTCATTTCAATTTTCTTTATGATTTGCCTAGGAAATTACATCATTTTGCCTGAAGCCATTCAGTCTGCTAAAGCTGTATTTTTACTTCTGAAGTAAACAGACTAATGAGTCATTACAAATCTGGCCATCTAGTCATCTATGTTGGTCATAAACAAATCCATCGCAAGGGATAAGGTCCCATTGCCAGGTTTGCCAACATGGAATCTTACATGGGAGCCTTTGGTTTATTTTTATAGTGTACATAAACATGTGTCACTTGAAGCATAATATAATAATAATGGATGCCATCTATTATGCACAGGTTCTTGGTTTATTTCACTAAATCACTGCAAGAAATCCTATGTCATCCCCGTTTTATGGGAAAACTACGTGTTGGAGAGGTGAAGAAGTAACTTGCCCAATGTCACACCACTGGATAGTGATGAAACTAGAGCTCCAATGCATCCATCTGGTCCTAGAAACTGTGGTCCTCCCTGTCCCTCTGCACTGAGTGAACTCAGACCCAGCGTGCCCTTCTCCTGCATGGAGTATTGTTAGAACTTCATTTGAGTGCACTGGTGGAATTATATGATACACTAACACACAATAAGATACTTGGCAAATGTTTTCAATTCTAATCTGAGTCATTTGAAGACTTCTTTTTTTTCAGATTTATTTATTTATTTGAGAGAGAGCATGAGTGGGGAGAGGGGCAGGGGGAGAGGGGCAGAGAGGCAGAGAGGCAGAGAGAAGCAGACTCCCCACTGGGCAGGGAGCCCCATGCGGGGCTCGATCCCAGAACACTGGGATCATGACCTAAGCCGAAGGCAGACTCTTAACCGTCTGAGCCACCCAGGCACCCCCATTTGAAGATTTCTATCTCCTGAAATCCTCTTCAGATGTTCTGCAATATATAATATGGATAATATCACTGTTATTCTAGAAGCTTTATTTACCAAACACCCAATTCAGACTAGTTAAAAGCCATTTATTCCCCTAAAGAACTGTGATAACATGTAAGTAAGTTTTTAAAAATGCATTTAGAATTTCAGCATAGTCAGGCATGATACTTAACACAAAGTAACTTAAGTGAATTATGAGTGCCATTTCAATTTATTCTAAAGTGGGAGACTTGAATCTCTAAACCAGTGGTTTCTAATTTTGTTTCTGTGGGGTTTTACAATTCTCTTTCAGAATCCAGTTTGTTGTATATACTACATAAAATTTATATATATATATTATAATTAATATGGCATATTAACTTTATGTATCTATATATAAAACAAACAAATTTTCGTTCTTATCATACACACACACACACACACACACACACACAACATTCACAAAATTCTGAGGGGTTCATAGAACCCACCCATCCCATCTGTTGGCACACCCAAGGGACCAGAAACGTCAGTGTGAATCTATTACATTAATCTGGAATTCAGTAAATCCAGTGTTCAAAAAAGTTGGCAAACCCCAAAATGTCATAGTCGTTGCTACTGCTGGAAATTGAGACAGAACTTCACAGGGAGGGGCTGCTGTGAGATGCTGACAAACCTCAGGCTATAGATCTGTTCTGCCTTGACTCCCTCAAGGCACTGGGTCTATGGAAACTCCCTGGTAGAGTCAGTCCTTTCACCAGGTCTCTTGTGTCGGAGAGGAAATCCTGAGACAAAGTCCAGAGCGGTGTCTTAAGACACCCAGCAGAGAGAAGCTGTTGCAGTGCTTCACATATTCACCTAAATATGCTGAAAAGAAGAGCCTGGCTTACCCTTCTCAGCAGCACATGCTAGGGCTCTAACATGCTACGATACGTCAGGCCGTCCAGGTGAAAATGAAAAATGCAGCCATTCAAAGAGGACATTTAAAAGTATATATGTATATTTAACACATATAAACATACATAAACGGACAGGTGAATATCATTTGGCACAGTGCCTGGCACATAGTAAGCAAAGAATAAATGTTACTAGAATGTGTGTGTGTATGAATAAGAATGAACATTTTGGGTTTTTTTTTTCAGCTTTTGCCATTATAAACGTGACTACAAATAATATATTCATACAAATGGCTTTGTACACATGTGTGACTATATCTGAAGGGTAAATTTTTAAACTAGAATTCCTGAACCAAAGGATATATGCATTTGTGATTTTGATAGATATTTCTATATTGTGCCCCAAAGTTATTATGGTCCTCTTAGTTTGAATCACTATTTTATGTAACTTCTCCATACAGATATACATGTATTAATGCTTATCTCTAATACATACACAGATCACCTGCCAACATGTGCATGGTCCATATCTATACTTGAACTAAAAGCCAGGATTTATAAGTATCTGTCGTGAGGATGAATCTCTCCTCATTCACAAGCTAACTGTGTCCTTCCTGTATAGACTGCAATGAACGCGGTAACCTAAATGTCTGTTGCCCATGAGAACCTACCTAACTACTAAGTTGTAGTAGCACCAATATCAAAGTTGTCAAACCTGTGTAAAAAGCAGAAAGAGCTAGGCATGCTTCTGGATGCTGTGAAGGTTTTATGTTGGTTGGTTGGTTGGTTAGCTGGTTGGTTGGTTTGGCTTGGTTTGGTTTAGCAGTGGTATTTAACAAAGCTTGGTTGCAAGTTGAAGCTAAAATTTATTTAACTTCTTTTAACTTTTCAAGCAATTAAAAATTCTTGAGCAAATAATAAGTTTTTAAGTTATCTCTGGATTTTACTTAACAGTTTCACTCTGTGCTATATTTGCATGGGTAACTGAGTTAATACAGTTAATTCTCAAATACAACTTCCTTAATGTGTAAGCAAACTGCATTTGCAAACAAATCTGCCTGTGAACTGTAAGACAGTAACCGATAAGAACATTAGTTTGATAAAGATCCACATTTAATCAGCTGTCCAGTGATGGTGGAGTGCCATTGGATG